CCTGTTCATTGTGTATGATGTCTTCCATATGGACGAGCCGTTCTCTCAGAGCAGGTCTGGAGCTGTGTGCCACTTTAATGTTGAGTGGAGCTAGTGTCCTGCTAATTCTGTCACTAATGTCTGGTATGCGGAGTGCTGCCTTAAGGTGACTCAACTGTTTGACTTTTGGTTATGTGCCTTTGTTATGGACATAGTTCGGCCCACATATTTTTCTAATAACCATTGTCTTAGAGCTATTTCTTCTCGGCAAGCACTGTCTGTCACGTGAGTCTAAGTCATAATAAGACATACAAACTAGACGATACCGAGTATTTTTCCGATAAAACGTAATAAGAAAAAGAGACTTCGCTCCGGAGGTGCCATAAACAGTAAAGCGGCAAATGCCGCTAGAAAATGCTCATGGATGTGTTGGGACGCAGATCATTGTGTGAATGCAGTTTTCGCATCTCGGAAATAATCGAATACGGTATATGTAAACACATGCGCAGCTTTTGGGGAGTTTTGTGACGTGCGTTTGCTAGTGGCGATATTGATTATCATTCCGTCCCCAAACAATACTCCTGGCGACTTTCTACTGCGCTGGCATATCAGAAAGCTGGCAGGCCCGCGCAGACAACAACGTGTATGACGGGCTTTAACTCGTCCATGGTCTCCTATGCTAGAGGCGAAGGCACGCCTTGTTATCCAGGTGGTGTTTCTGACCGTCCTGGTGTTCAGGGGCGTTTGCACCTCTTCACGTCATCCCGGAAGAGTGCATGGTCGGAGCAACCTACCGAAACTTCTGCATACACCAGTGCAGCATCTAGATGACAGTGACATTTGGAAGGTGGCTGACTACTTATCAAATTCTTCTCAGCTGCCTGACAATGGTTAGTACTGGTCGCTTCGGCCATGCCGTGTTCTGTGTACCGACAATGACCAGTGTAAGTAGCGAGCGATGTTCCTCACCATTTGACGCTTGTGATCGATGCGACCCATTTGACTATCTATGAAAAATACCAGCCGACAGGCACAAAATGTCTATGTCATTAAGAGGCTGGTATCTACTTTGTATTAACACTAGCAGAGTCTACGCATCTGCAGCATTTGTTGTGCGTGGTAAAACTATTACCAATATCAGCATGCTCTGTAACTTTGATCTTCGTGCGTCATTTGTATGCGAACGAAAAGAAACGGGCTGACCGCAAGTTAGCTAGTTATAGTTATACTTGTATTTTTCTTTGTCTTTTTTATTTACTTTATTTCGCACACTATTGTCAATACTGGCATTTCCTACTCATTAGCACAGCTACCTCTGACAAATTTGCGAAGGGCTGTTCGTCAGGTAAATTTTACACGCGGCATGATCTTAAAGAAATGTTCACGACACATGCATATATCACCTGTGAAAAGGGGTATGACCACTCAAAATAAGTTAGGGGGCCTAACCAGTGAAGAACAGCACAACCTACCCCAAAATGAACCAAAAATTTTTTCTCGCCAGTTTTGGCAGCTTCTTCTCAAAGTTGGGGGGCTGAAGCCCAAGTTGGAGTTGAGGCCCCCGCCCTTCCCCAAATGAAAAAATTGTACCCACTCCTGGGAAGCAAAGTTTATTGCGATTTTAAGTCAAACGTGCATGTTCTTCGAAAATCATTTCAATTATCGGTGATACTTCACGTCAAAACAAAACATACGACGAATGAGTGCCGTATAGAAAAACCTGTGAAGCCGTGCTCATCATTCCATTACTGAACATCACTTCAGCTCATGTTCAACATGAGCACCGCGGCCGGCGATGCATATCTTGATGCGTCTTGGAACTGTCTCGACCGCTCTCCTAGCGTTCGGGGGTGGCCGCTTCCAACCTGGCGGCTGCTATCCCCGCTGCACTGACACGGGTCTTTTGCATAGTTTGGGTACGGTGCACATGTTTCCAAGTTTACTAGGCAACTTTGGCACGTTCGTTTACCCTCTCGCTTCCTTTTGAGGCATGGGACTGCAGCTGTTTCGCGAGTATTAGATGCACACTAAACTTTCGCAGCCGCAGTCTTATTGTGCTAACGGGCGCGGAGTGAATGTTTACCCGCGCCCGGCCAGAGGTCTGAGACAACGGGGGCCGGGGTGGGAAGTTGACTGCCCCCTGGGATCTCCAATTTCCAGACGTGCTACGAGAAAAACAAAGATACTGTTGTGGGGGTCTCGTCGAATTATGAAGAATACATGCCCAATTTTTGACCTGAGGTCAATTGTGAGATCACCAGATGCCACGAAAGGAAACGAAATGGTTCAGATAGACGTAGTTAAAACATACGCTCATATGTCAAGACGATATTGAGAGAGCAGACTTAAGCGTTCAGACTGTTGGGAGCTCATTCCTACCATTTTTGTTCCTCCGCAACGGTCAGGTCAGACCGGGTCACCGTTTATAGCTGGTCCGCCAGCAGCCTGCAAGAACGATACGCTTTTTGTTCTCTGTCATAAAATGCTTCAGGCTTATTTATCTCTTTACATGCAACTGTGGGAAAAAGCATCCTAGACGCAAAAAATGTCATGTTAAGACCGCCTAGAGTTTAGCTAAGGCCAACTGACGTCAAATTCATGAACCATCCAATAAGAAATCTAAGAACTAACCGGGCATAAAAGACCAGTACAATGCTTAATAAAAGACCGCATAGCTCCTGGATATATTATGCATAGTCCCTTCGACGCTTGACAATAAACGTGTAGCAAATTAAAGTTTAAACCCTGTGCGGGGACTAACGGGACCTAAACCCTGCGGAGAATCAAACCCTGTACGGTTGGTTTCTTAGATGAGCCACTTAACAAGGTCGGGACCGTAGAATTCATTCCGCAGACAGGCAGTAGCATATAAAGATGCGTATTGATTTAACTGTCGCTGCTTTTCGGGCACGAGCTCTGCGTCAGGCATCATTTGCGTTGCGTTCTGAAGAACTCATTGGCGTTTGCAGATGACGCTAGCAAGCTGGACAACCTCTACTACAGAAAAATGCTGGAGTACGTCTTCGGCTCTGGCGTAAAAGATACTGAAGCCTCAGCGTCGGATCCCTTGCGTATCGTTGTGAAGTTGGATAGCAACCGTCCACGCAGCAGGACTACATGGCTCACAGCGGGACCACCTCCAAACAAGCCGTCCAGGACTGGCACTGGACTCCGGGACCGGCCTCGCATGAGCCGCCCCAGGCACAGAGCCGCACCTGAGGCCCCCCAGCGCCGCGGCGTACCCCTCTCCACCCGAGACCGCTTTTACTTCTTGCGCCATCTGCGCGCGGACCTGCCGGCGCTGGACCAGGTGCTGGCGGAGGAGCCGGAGCCTCCCGAGCCGGAGCCGTCGTCCACCACCGAGCGGCCCGAGCAGCCGGACCGGACGGCGCAAACGGCCGACCAGCGCCTGCAGGACGTGCTGCGCGGCATGGTGACGTACGGCGAGGCCGCTGAGGGCGACGAGGGCACGCTGGAGGAGGTGCGCCAGCTGGCGGCGAGGGAGAACACGCGGCCGTCACTGCCCCGCCCCGGGAAGGACCTGTTGGAGCTCATCGAGGACAAGTCCATCTCGAAAACGCGCCGCAGGAGGGACGCGGCGAGGACGGACATGAAGCAGCTGACGGACTTCATGTCACAGGAAAACTACTCGCAAGAGCTGATTAACAGCTTCCAGACGGGCGGCGTCAAGCGACACAACTCGATCAAGAAAGAGCTACGCGAGCCTATCGACATTGATATGCACGGCATAGCGGTCATGGCGGCGTCGCTGCGGAAGCGCAGCGCGCCAGTCCAGGCTACCACAGCTGACCGGCTGGACGTGACCGCCACCGATGTGGACAACTTGGGGGTCGACACCATCGGGCGTGCTGTTCGCAACCCGAGCGGCGATTCCAGCGCCACCTACGACATCATCACGGCACCGGGCGCTGCCACATATGCCATTCCCTCAGGGTCCGGTGCTGCCACCTATGGCACGGGCTCTGCGCGAGCGCGGCGGCGGCGCAGCGCGCCTGGCACGCGACGCGTGCTGGACAAGATCCGGATCGCGCCTGACCTGCCCGACATGATGACCCTGGACCCGGAGGACGTGCTAGAGAGCGAGGAGAGTCCACTACTGCCGGTGCGCGTGATCTCCGGCGCCGAGCGCGACCCGTTCGAGGTGACTGAGCGCGGCGCGCTTGTGTTCGAGGAGAGCGAGCGGCGCCCCACCTGGAGCCCCTGGGGCCTCTGGGGGCCCTGTTCAGTCACCTGCGGCCCCGGGCAGAAGGCGCGCTACCGACACTGCGTGCAGGGGCCGCGCTGTGAGCCTGGCGAGCGAGAGTCAGACTTCAAGCCCTGCCTGAGGAGGTCCTGCACGCTCCCCGTACCCGCGGGGCTCCTGGACGCCTTTTGATGGCGTGTGTGGGGAGAACGCCCCCAAATGCATTTTCACATCACGCCAGCTTGAATGAATTGCTGCTGCAGCTGTGGTTACCCTGGGAGACGACTGAGAACGTTCCAGTCGCCACAGCCGGTGAGGAGAGTACCTCCCCCGTCCACCAACGCAGCATCCCGCAGCCAAATGTAATTGTTCATGAATGTGATGGTCTTTCGGTGCGCATCCCAAGTGCCGCACAGGGCATGAATGGGGCAAGCAGGCTTATGGCTGAGTAACTTTTCTTCGGCTTTCTGCTGAGCTCTGAGCAAGATTCAAAGTAGAAAACCAGAAACGAAATCAGGTCGTTTTCTCATGACGAATGCTGGTACAAATCAACCGCCATCACGCTTGCACACACATCAATACCACGAAACCAAACAGATTCCTTAGAAATAACCTCCGAACTGCCTGCAAAACAATCCCCATCCAATCCAACGTCTGTGTAAGTTATACCTCTTGCCACTCCTTTTCATAACAGCGCTGTATAGCCGGTGGCACGAGCTGCCCATCAGCCATTGCGCCCAACGCCCGATCGCATCACCAGCCTGAAAACGTCCCAGAACGCCCTCTCTCAGATTGACGGATGGCGAAGACAACCGCAGAACTTCTGTGCTGGTTTATTCAAAAAGTGGGGTACAAAATATGACCTGTTCCGTCGCCACCCACCGCTCCGCCAATAGACGCGTGTCGAAATGCAAACAGCACAGAGTATTTTGAAGGGCGACGGCGCGCGCCGGTGGCGCCGCCGCTGCCGGTTTCCTGTCTGGCTGGCCTTGACTGCCTCTGCCCACGTGACGCTCCCACCAGGCCTCGCGGGAGCGGAGCCGCGCGGCCGGCCGGCCGGCGCGTCGCCCCCGCCGACGGGGGCGCCGCGAGCCGCCCGGCCGCCGGCCCGGGTCTTGCCACGGGGGACTCCAGCGCCGCGCCCCTCCGTCCGTCCTGCTGCTGCTGCCGTCCTGCCGCCGCCGCCGTCCGCATCGCACCGCCACCGCCGCTTTACGATCGGATCCGCGCCATAGTGTTCCTTCAGTCACGATTCTTCGGTTTCGTCCCGCGCCCGCTCGGACGGCGGCCTCCGCCTCACTGCCGCGGGCGCCAGTCCGCGCCGGCCCGCTCCTCCGCGCACTCCCTCACTCATTCACCGTCTGCCGATCGGGGCTGAGCCCCGCCGCAGCGCACCTTTGCACTGTAACGTTGGCGCGCGCCGGCCGGGGGCGCCGGCGCCGCCTAGTTCTGCACGGCCTCCGAGCGTGGCTCGGCGCTCGGCCAGCTGCTGGCCTCCTGGCCCCGCTCAGAGCGGCCGCCGCGCTGGTACGAGCCGTCGCCACCGCCGCCACCCCGCCGGCTGTTGTACCTGCGATCAGTCAGCACGGTCAGGCGCCGCGTTGGCTCGCGCCGCTGGCGCCTCTCACAGCCCGGCTGGCAACGGTGTGTCCCGCAGATGGACACCGCACACTGATGCAGGGACCAGCATCAATGTGCAACATCCCCCCCCCCCCCTGGAAGGATTACAGCTGCCTGACGTTCGACGGCTTGCAGGCGGCGGAACAAAATAAACCGTGAAGCACAAGCAAGCAAAGCCGAAAAAGGTAGCGGTGAAATCAGTTCATGACAAGAGCCCAAACGGTGTCCGGTAACACTGCATCCCCGCTCGAGCGCCGGGGCCGTCGGGCACTGACCCCCGGTTGTAGTTGTTGTAGTATCCCCGGTAACCGCCCCGGTTGTTGTAGTAGCCGCCACCACGGTTGTTATAGTAGCCTCCGCCGCCGCGGTTGCCGTAGTAGCCGCCGCCGCCGCCGCCGCCGCCGCCGCCGCGGTTGTTATAGTAGCCGCGCCCGTAGCCGCCGCGCCGGTACGGCCGGCGCGTGCCCTCCACGCCGAACGTCTCCAGGTTCTGCTTGCGCTCCTTCTGCCAGTCCTGGCGGCGCTGCCGGTTGCTGCCGGGCAGGGCGGCCGGTGAGCGCGGGCCGCGGCCGGACGGTGGGCGGCGCTCGGCTGGGGTTGGGTCAGCGCCCGCCCGCGGACGGGCGGCCGGGGTGTCGACAGGCGGCGCCTCCACCCGCGCCCGCGCCGCGCAGGCGGCAGCTGGCGCGGGGAGGCGCCGCTTTGGCGTGCAAGGATGTCAAACATCACGTCCAGCGGCGGGGTCACGGACCGACAGACGCGGCGGCTACAGTAAGGCGCGGGCGTGAGCGGGCACTGCCGCCCAGGCTCCTCACAGACCACACTGATCTGGTATCCCAGATAACGCTCTGTGGGTGAGCTTGTGGGCCTGTGGACGGTTTGCTCGAGTTCGTCGGCTTGTTGATAAGCTTGCGAACAGTTCGGTAAAGCGGAAAGCAAGATGACGAACATCACAACGTTTGCAACGTGGGTGGAGCAACGTTTTTTAAGTTGGCATAGACTGGAAGTAGACCCAACAATTTGGTGTGGGAAGTCCACGACAACGCAAACTCCACGTCAATCTAGGTGCGACAGTCATTTTATCTAAACGATCTTCTCTGTAATATTTATACCAAAAAAGATAGTTCCACTCAAAACAAACACTCCGCCTTGCAGTGTGACTGGCTGCGCAGGATTTGGTACCCGTTATTCTTTACGGCCGATTGCTAGGCCGCGGGGGTGTGGCTGTCGCTGTGAGAGCCGCTACGACTGGCGTCAGTCCGTAACCTTAAAAACTCGCACTCAGACATCACAGCAGCGTACTCACTCTCTGGCCTTCTCGATGGCCATCGCAGCTGATGTTGTCGAAAAACGACTTGGTTTTGTTGTAGAAGACGACCGGCTCCTCAGCCTGGTCGGGCACCTCGCCCTCCTCCGGCTCCTCCTCGGCGCCGGCCTCGCCGGCCTCGCCGTTCTCATCAGCGCCAGCCGGGGTGGCTGCGGCACCGGGCCAGACGTCAGCACGGCGTGCACCGGGCGCATGCGCAGCGTCGGCACAGCGCGCCGAAGCCTGTACAGCGGCCACCGCGGCCACTATACAGGCTCCAGATGCCACCTAACGGTAAGCCCTGAAACCACCTTTCCACAGCGTACATCGCCGCGGCAGTCGTACATCTTTAAGTTAACCGTAAACCGCGAGCCGGAGCCCCTCCACCTGAAGCCCACCCACCCGCCCACGCCGCACTTACTGATCTTCGTCTTGGCGAGCTGGGCGGCCAGCTCCTCGAACTTCTTGTTGGCCTCCTCGAAGTCGAAGTCGCCGTCGAACTTTATGGGGCGCGCGCTGACCTGGAAGGTGCCCCGGCTCTGGCCGCGGCCGCCGCGCCGTCCGCCGCGCTGCGTGCGGTACCCGCCGCCGCCTCCGCCACCGCCGCCCCGCTGGTAGCTGTGGTAGCCACCGCGCTGGCTGCGCCGGCGGGCGGCAAGGGGGCCGCGTCAGTCGTCCGCGAGGGGCGGAGCGGCGGCGACCGCGGACGAGCACACCACCGCCGCCACCAACGCTCAGACAAATGCTACGGCATCAGTTACCCAAAGTTTTGTGGGTATGGCAGTACGTGTGTGCCGAACTGCGGCGATACTATGGCTTTGGACCAGCGCCCTTGCACCCAGCCATAATCAAAACGGGCTTCACTTAGGGATCGCCACACACCGACCCTGCACGTGACACATCCTACATGACCATCTCTAAAAGCAAACTCGCCCAGATCCCGAAGTAAACCCGAAAAGATCCACACCACAACCACAGGGGCGTAGTTGTCTAGCAGTTAGTGCCTTGGTCTCCCACCTAGGGAGCTAGAGAGCGAATCTCGCTTGCTCCATGGCCCCCGAGCATTTATTTGGCCTATGCAGTCGGTGGCGCTCTATAAAAGGGTCATGACAACGTGCGTGCCACTCCCTTAGCAAACCTCACGCGCATATCACACTACGACTGGTGCGAGCGGCTGCCAGTGCCCGCGCGGGACGCCGGGCGGCGGCGGCGGCGGCGGCGCCTCTCACCCGTCGCGGTGCCGGTGCTGCCGGTCCTGCTGGGTCTGCACGCCCTGGTCGATGGTCGGGGAGCGGCGCGACGGCGTGGTCGACCGCGACGAGCCCGTCAGCAGGTCGGCTGAAGCACAGACAAGCGCGTCACGCGCCGTCACCGGCCCAGTCGACGCCGAGGTCCGCCCTTCGCGCAAACAGTGACTAGGCAGAGACGTGTGTGTAATGAATACTTTCATACATGAAACTAGCTTCCTTGTGGGGTCACTGGAGTGACTTGATGACTTGATGATCAGCTGTTTCGCAGATAGAAATTCAATATACACATCACCTGTGACATGCTTTGACCCAAGTTAGTACACCTATCCCCCAAACGCCTTACAGCATTAGCAATGACCTTGAACAAAGGCCAAGAAAGTCGATTTAACGCATGAAACAATGCACGTAAACAAGCCAGGCGCAACCAATCTCATCACGAACACAGCTGTGCACGAATAAAGCGAGCTACAGGTTCCCAATGGCTTAGGCAACAAAGGTGCAGACTTCCCACCAACGGACACCAGTGCAATAAAACCCTGATGTGTGCAGCAAACTTCATGCAACCAGACTGAAAAGTTTGGCTACCATTTAAAACAGCTCCGAACACGAGAACTAAACGAAAAGCACGACTACACTGCCGCAAACAAAAAGCACAACTACGCTGCCACGAGCGAACGGCGACGGCGGCGGCGGCGGACGGTGCTCAGTACCTGCCGGCTGGGCGGGCGCCGCATAGTCCATGATGCCGCCGCCGGAGACGAGCGCGGACTCACTGGAAGGTGCGGCGGCGGCGGACAGCGGGCCGCCGGGCGCCGCCGCCGCCGCCGGCAGCCTGCTGACGGCCCCGCCGGCGGCCGCCGCCCCGTTCAGGCCGAACCCGGCGCCGGCCGGGCCGGCGGCCGCGCCGAACGGCGGCGGCTGCGAGAGCCGGCCGCCGGCCGCCAGCGGGCCGCCCGGCGCGCCGCCCGAGCTGGTCGACGACCCCATCTGGCGGCAGCCGTGACGCCGACGGTCGGGTCAGCAGGCACGGCGGCGACGGCGAAGGGGGCGCCGACACGCCACACCCAGAGAACGGTCAGAGCTTCCCAGTTCGCCATGCTTTGACAGCTGCAGGCTGGCTTCTTAGATTCAGAGCGACCGTTTGCTCCGGCGCCACGCCATCGGCCGCCCAAGAGAAATTTGGCGCAGGGAAAACCCAATCAGAACACCATTGGCAGGTTCCGACTTCATCAGAAGCCAGGGAGCCTCACCTCAACAATTGCCGGGTCATCATAGGTCTTCTGGACTTGGACATTGCAGAGCTTGATGTCCTTGATGTCGGAGCCACGGAACACGATGAAGTCATAGATCTCATCTCTCTCAGCTACAGGTCGTTCAGTCGGCCGATCTTCGGTACCGAATGAACGGACTGGAAACAGGCGCACTGGTGTAAGCGCGACAAAGCAATCCAGACAAGAAACCCACAGTCTACTAGCCTACCTGGGTGTTAATGCAAAGCGGTCAAATGCTTTAAGGTGCTTCAGCACGCAACCCGATTTGCATGTGTGAAGCTATAACATGTTTCAGCACTACAGTCATCAGGATGTGTTGCTTACTCATGACCAATTAATTGTTGACAAGCTGTGATGCATAAAGTTTAATTTAACATCTATGCACACAATGTGACGCTCAGACCATTGTTCATCACATATCTACATCTAATGATTTAGGTACTGTCATGTCCGAAAAATTTGGGCGCGAATAATGTGGCTGTGCCGTTGATGATGTAAGTTTACTTGTCTTGTTTTCTTCTGGATCAAATAATTACATAATGTATGGCTAATTTTCTGGGTAACCTAATCTTACTTGAACAGCACCAGCCTGATTCAAATTATCGTGGCCATCTTTGAGGAGTGATATTGACATTACAATGCTGTCTATCTGTGTCCGTCTAGCTGTGTCCGCCTATCTGTGTCCGCCTATCTGTGTCCGCCTATGTGTCCGCCTATATGTGTCTGTCTATCTGTGTCCGTCTATCCTTGTCTGTGTCTGTGTCTGCCTCATCTATATGTGTCCTTCTATCCGCGTCCATCTATCCGTGTCTGTCTATCCGTGTCTGTCTATCCGTGTCCGTCCATCCGTGTCCGTCCATCCGTGTCCGTCCATCTGTGTCCGTCCATCTGTGTCCGTCCATCGTCCATCTGTGTCCGTCCATCTGTGTCCGTTTATCTGTGTCCGTTTATCTGTGTCCACCTATATGTGTCCACCTATATGTGTCCACCTATCTGTGTCCACCTGTCTGTGTCCACCTGTCTGTGTCCACCTGTCTGTGTCCACCTGTCTGTGTCCACCTGTCTGTGTCCACCTGTCTGTGTCCACCTGTCTGTGTCCGTCTATCTGTGTCCATCTATCTGCGTCCATCTATCTGTGTCCGTCTATCTGTGTCCATCTATCTGCATCTATCTGTGTCTGTCAGCCTGTGTCTGTCAGTCTGTGTCTGCATGTCTGCATGTCTATGTGTCTGCATGTCCATGCCTGTGTCTGTCCATGCCTGTGTATGCCCATGTCCATGTCTTGTATGCGTCTGTCCATGTCTGTGTCTGTCTGTGTCTGTCTGTGCCTGTCTGTCTGTGCCTGTCTTACATACAAAAATGAGACTTCCTGTTATCTGAACAGGAGAGACTGATCAACAGGTCATTTGGCTTTTAACCCTGCTCATCACTATAATGAAATATGGCAAGGTTAGTCAGTTCAAAATTCAGCACTAGTTGGTAAGGTCTGAGTTTGGTGCGCACATGCTCCAGATTCAGAATGTGATGTGGGCAAAGCCAACCATGTAAGCCATGTAGGTGTTGCTAGGAATGTCATGCAGGTACCAGTCCAGTGGATAGACTGCGAGCTAGCACCACACCAGCATTACTAATGAAGATCTGCCAGCAGCCTCCAGGAAGAACACTGGTTGGGTTGTGGCAAAGGCATGTTAGGTCTGATGGACCTGTGGAAGCCTGTTCCTTTGCTAGCATCAAGTATTTGTGTTTCACATTTGATGATAGAAAACCTTTTAACTGCAATAACATTATCACCACCATCATGCACACTGTTATATTAACACTTATTATGCTAGAATGATAAAAGCCAATCTGTCTGAATGTTGTACTTTTCAACATAGACAACATAGACCTTGTGTACAATAGGCAATCTCAATGGGACTTCAAGGTCTCCAATTGCCAACTAATCTGCCAGAAGTCTACCCCCTGTTGACCCATTCATCTGACAGAAGTATATCCCCATTGACCCATTCAATGCTGCAGGCATCTGCCAATCCATCAAGGGTTGGCAACCAGCCCATAAGGCATTTAGGGCAGCACACTTCTGTGGTTGGAGCAGTGGCCAGTCACTTGATGTCTGGGAGACTCAAAAATTTTCCTGACAATCGTATTTGCACTTACTGATCACGAATAACCCTTACAGCTGCTACAGCCAAGTCAGATTGAATTTACTATCCAACATTTTGCAATATGGACAAAATTACAGTTTCAGCCATCACCACACTGATGCCAATCACATTGGTGTGCAGCTTTAGGCCTGTTTACCAATTCAGAACACACAGTGGAACCTGGCAGAAGCAAAATGCTTCATCCTTGTGCAAGATTTATGTCAGAGCTTTTCAAATTTATTAGTGTATCTCTCCATAGGGGGAGATATTTACCAGCCCTAAATATGGAAAGCTGGGATAATGAAAGCAATGAACACCCCACAGCACATTTAACACAAATGCAGCACACTTGGCT